TGTGAAGTGGGAAAGTAAAAATCAGTTCTGTGCTAAACTGTGGATGTGGGACTGCCTGAATAATGTAATAAGATGTAAATGGGAATGTATGGAGGACGGGTATGAGAATGCAAGGGTGATCTGTCATGGGAAAAGTGATGCAAAAGGAATAAGCATGGAATTCTGCCCAAAGAACAAGAATAGGATGACTGGGGTGAAATATTTGAAAGCTGGCACCAAAGAACATGGAGATAGCAAGAATTGCAAATTCTGTAGTCAGAGACAACACAGAAAATTTTCTGAAGAAGGGTCCTGACCCGAAATGTAAACTTTCCTGCTCCTCTGATGCTGCCAGGCCTGCTGTGTTCCTCAAGCTCCACGCTGTGTTGCCAAAGAACATGGAACCTGTTAATATTGGGATTCTGATGTGGCAACAGCTTATGGAGCTAGGATGTCTACTGTAAACATCCTCAATTTAGAAAGTCTGGATAGTAAACTCCAAACCTTGACACAAAGGTCATAGAGGTCTTGAGTGAACTAAAAGGCAATGACAACAGAATGCAGAGAGGGGATTACATGGAAGTTGGGTTGCAAATGACATAATTAAAGTACTGGAGAATCATGATAAGACCATCAAACAAATCATAAAGGGTAAGGTAAAGGTGGTTAAAAATGGCAAAATGGAACTTTGTGCAGCATCTATGATAATTGGAACAATTAAGAGAAAACTATGAACATATCGGGGAGGGTCCCATCTTGGCTTAGTAACAGTGACTAAGACAGTTGACGAACAGGGAAATACACAAGGGTATCAAGTTGTCAGTTCCGACAACTGACCAGAATCTGGTTTAGAAATAATTGTGGAGGCACCACGGGTAAAGCCCTGGGGATGATATGGGGCTTCCAATGACTCCTAAGGATGAAATTGAATTGAACATCTCAGGTGGATAATATAGGTATAATCAAGGAAGAAATATGGATGGGGCATGAGAATGCTCTGCCCTGTACTGCTGAGAAAGAAGAGGAATTGTAGGTACCACATTAGCCAAGTGCTTATCAGATAGATAAGTACCCTGAGCCAGACGGGATATACCCAAGGTTACTCGGGAAGCAAGGGAAGAGATTGCTGCGCCTTTGGCAATGATCTTTATGTCCTCACTGTCCACTGGAGTAGTACCAGAGATTGGAGGGTGGCAAACCTCATTCCCTTGTTCAAGAAAGGAAATAGGGATAATCCTGGAAATTACAGATCGGTCAGTCTTACTTCTGTGGTGAGCAAATTATTGAAGAGGATTCTGAGAGGTAGTATTTATGACTATTTGGAAAAGTATAGTTTGATTAGAAACAGTCAGCATGGCTTTGAGAGGGGCAGGTTATGCCTCATAAGCCTTACTGAATTCTTTGAGGATGTGACAAAACACATCGATGAAGGTAGAGCAGTGGGTGTGGTGCATACAGATTTAGCAAGGCATTTGATAAGGTTCCACATGGTAGGTTCATTAAGAAAGTAAGGAGGTTCAGGGAAATTTGGCTGTCTGGATACAAATCTGGCTGTCCAATAGAAGACAAAGGGTGGCAGTAGATGGAAAGTATTCAGCCTGGAGCCCAGTGACCAGTGGTGTTCCGCAGGGATCTGTTCTGGGACCTCTGCTCTTTGTGATCTTTATAAATGACTTGGATGAGGAAGTGGAAGGGTGGGCTAGTAAGTTTGTCGATGACACAAAAGTTGGTGGAGTTGTGGACAGCGTGGAGGGTTGTTGTAGTTTGCAACGGGACATTGACAGGAAGCAGAGCTGGGCAAAGAAGTGGCAAATAGAATTCAACCCAGGAAAGTGTGAAGTGATTCATTTTGGAAGGTCGAATTTGAATGCAGAATACGGGGTTAATGGTTGGATTCTTGGCAGTGTGGAGGAATGGAGGGATCTTGGGGTCCACGTCCATAGATCCCTCAAAGTTGCTACCCAAGTTGATATGGTTGTAAAGAAGGCGTATGGTGTGTTGGCTTTCATTGGCTGGGGAATTGAGTTTAAGAGCTGTGAGGTTATGCTGCAGCTTTATAAAATTCTGATTAGACCACACTTGGAACATTGTGTTCATTTCTGGTCACCTCATTATAGGAAAGATGTGGAAGCTTTAGAGAGGGTGCAGAGGAGATTTACCAGGATGCTAACTTGTGGACTTCTCTACCACAGAAAGCTATTGCGGCCAGTTCATGAGATATATTCAGGAGGGAGCTGGATGTGGCCCTTGCTGCTAAAGAGATCCAGGGGTATGGAGAGAAAGCGAAAGTGGGATACTGAAATTGCATGATCAGCCATGATCACATCAAATGGTGGTGCAGGTTCAAAAGGACTGGATGCCCTACTCCTGCACCTATTTTCTACATTTCTGTGAAGAGGAGACCCTGAGTTCGGAACTCAAAAAAGACTATGATTTGTGGGAGTGAACCTGGCCAGTTCATCACACATGGGCAGTATTAATGTTCAAGTCATGAAGCTTACAGTGTAGTGAGTAGCAACATAGAGTAGGGAGTTGAATACAAAGTTGTTAAGAGTTAATAACATACAAGTAATAAGTGCTAATAAAGGTTAAATTGTATGAAACTCCAGCTTGAGTGTCTTTTTGTCTATAATATCAGTTGATATCTTAGTCCAAAGATCAACATACTGAAGTTGCAAGGTAACATGCAGGACTTTGTTTTTTTTCCATGCCACCTGAGCCACCAGTATAGTCTTTATCTTTCCAAAGCGATAGCTCAACAACTAACTAACTCTCCATGATGTATTCTGATTCTGGAAAGGTTCAGATTTAGTGTTGATAGAAATCCCAGTGAAAGACTGTAAATTTTGACTCCCTAAAATATGGATCTTTTTCCATTCTCTGTCTGCCTGCCTGCAGAAACCATACAATGCCATTTTCTAATATCAGCAAAAGTCAAAACTGGAAACAACCTACCAAAAAGACAATGCTGAATCTCTGTGGGATGATTCTACCATTACACCCAGATATTAGAATATACCTTACCAGTCTCCTCAGCAGAGTAATGCACACTTGTCAGACAAATGTGGAGGCTATTGCTTGGCTTCAGTGGTTTGCAATCAGTAAATAACATCATAATTCTATTTATCAATATTCTGAAATATCTCTTTCACATTTGCCAATGCACGAACATTCAGAGAAAAACATAAATAAACTGTTGTAGCATGAAAAGATGAGAACAGAAATGAAAGAAATGTGGGAAGAACTTAAAACCAAATATTGTCTCATAGGCCAGCTGTATATGAAGACTTCAGTAATTGTTGCCTCCTGAAAAGAGCAGGGATGTCTTGCTGCAATTCTACAGGACCGTGGTGAGACTACAATACTATGTGCAGTTTTGGTCTTTTGTTGACACTCAATTGAATGTGACAATGCATATCATAACTGATGTCCTCCACGCAACAACTTCCCCTGGTTTCCTGTCTTCACAAACTCCATTTTTCCCACTTCCACTGACTGACGAAAACCCACAAACGAGTTAAAAGCATCTGTGTTGTCCCTTACTGACCAATCCATGATGACTTGTTCAACCCAACTACTTCTACCTTCTATCCTGGCACCCTCTTTGGGACAACTTTTCTGAACTAGATCAAACCAAGAAACATCCTTTGGATCAAGGAATGGGAAACAAGGTAAGTGGGATTTGTCACAAGAAATTTGTTACTGACTTACGTTGGCTTTGAACTACCATGCAAAAGTGGTTCCTGCTAAACAGGCTCAGGACAGGCCAGAGCTCCTTTGCAGCCAACTTTCACTGCTTAGGCGTCAGTTTAAAACTCTTGAGCATTTGAGGAGACACAAGCATAGTTGCACATGACTGAGGAATGTCCCACCGACAAAGTGGCAGACTAATCACCTTAAACTCAACAAATGTGGAGCTATTGCTTGGCTTCAGTGGTTTGTATTCAGTAAATAAAATCATAATTCTATTTATCAACATTCTGAAGTGTCTCTTTCACATTTGCTAATGCACGAACATTCAGAGGGAGAGAAACATAAATATGCCATAGTAGCAATGAAAAGATGAGAACGGAAATGAAATGGATGCGGTAAAAAGTTAAACAAAATATTGTCTCATAGGCCAGCTGTATGTGAAGACTTCAGTAAAGTTGCCTCCTGAAAGGAGCTAGATATCTTGCTGCAATTGTACAGGGCCATGGTGAGGCTACAATACTGTGTGCAGTTTTGGTCTCCTTTTCCAAGGAAGGATAATCTGGCCATGGAGGGAATGCAACGAAAGCTTACCAGACTGATTCCTGAGATGGTCGGACTGATGTATGAAGACAGACTGGATTGGTTAGGACTTTTTTCACTGGAGTTTAGAAGGATAAGGTGAGATCTCAAAGAACTGAAAAAATCCTAACAGGACTAGACAGGGTAAATAAGAGAAAGATGTTCCTGATGATCACAGAGTCCAGAACTGATGTCACAGTCTAAGGATACAAGGTGGGTTATTTAAACCTGAGATGAGGAGAAATTTCTTTACCCAGACAGTTGGTGAGCCTGTGAAATTCTCTGCCACAATAAATGGCTGAGGCCAAAACATTGAACATTTTCAAGAAGGAAATAGATAATAGTTCTCAGGGCTAAAGGGATCAATGGGAATGGGAAGAAAACGGGAACAAAATACTAAGTGGAATGATCTGGTATGATCATACTGAGCTACGGAGGACACCCGAACAGCTAAATGGCCCACTCTTGTTCCTATTTTCTATGTTTCTATATTGAATTTTATTGCCTCCATTCCAAAGGGTGTCGTGGTTCTACTGATGTAGAATATCGTGAAGTAAATTTAACTGTAAATTTAACTAAATTTAATAATGTTTTCATGCTAATTCTCAGATTTCTGTTTCTAAGTGTGACTTCACATTTGGAACAAGACCTCTAAATTTCTGATTGCAATCTAACCAACCATTGGCATTGCAACAGGAGAAAATAAAGTTAATTTAAATTTAAAGTTAATGATGAAATAGGGCAGGTACCTCCAATGCAGTTCTGAATCGCCCTGCTGCGACTGAATACTTCTTCTGATGGTAGTAAAAACTTGCATCCTTTAAAGCTTTAGCAAGCCATTTATCCATTTGGGGTGCCAAATTCAAAGCACACGAAGTCATAGATTCTCCCGATTTGCTGGCTTCACACACTGATTGAGTACTTCTGTAATCTTGGGATTCTATAAATTCATACATTATTTGTTGTTCATCAACATATACCAATTTCATTTCAACATCCATTACACTTTTTAAGGGCACACGAGTGAGAGACTGAATTACTGGTGGATCTTGATGCTCTACTACTTTCAATTCCTTTTTGTTGGCACATTTTTCTTCATTCTCTAGTTTTCTTTTGATCCCTAAGCTGTCTAATGTACTCTTTCTCTTTAGTTTGACCTTCCTTGTATGTGTCATTCTTTGGCTTAAATAGGATTCTGGTTTTCTGCTACATGTTTTGTCATTCCCATCAGGAGGTCTAGGATGATCAGCTGCATCATCCAATGTATTACTTTGAGATAAATTGAAAGTATCTATTTCTTTTTCAATTTTAGTGTTGACAGTCACATTCTGTTTTCCATCTGGATTTTTCATAATTGTAGAAGCCATATTCAAACATTGATACCTAAATAAAGGTTACAGAATATGAATGATTAGAAATTGCTCTGGAATGCAGATAATTTTTGTCACATCATAGTATGCCTCTAAGATTTGGCCCATCTGGGATTTTCTTAATTTTGTAATGTACTGGTTCTGCAATGGTAATTTTTATTTTTGAAGGCACCTTCACAACAAAAAAATTCAAAACTACTTTGTAATAGCAAAAGGATAAAAGGACACTTTTTGAGAAGTTACCAAAAGATGGGACAAAGATATAGTCTTAAAGAAAGGTCATAAATGGAAATATAGATGTGGAGGGGTTCATGGAGGAATTTGCAAAATTTGGGTCTTAACGAACTGAAAGCCATGAGTGCCAGTGGCATTGGAGAACAAAGCAGAGTTCCTTAAAAAACCAAAGTCAATCAAATTGAGAGTTTGTGGTTGAATGTTAACAAGTTAATGAAGTTACAGGGGGTAGGCACAGATAATACCATGAATATAAACATGAGTTTCAACGGTTAGTGATGGTGAATGGCAGACAGATTTGTTCTTTTTAGTGAAAGAAAGTGCCAGTCAAATATTGAATAATTCAAGGTAGAATAAAGGAACACCTGAGAAAATAGTATCAGAATGTTTTCCAAATACAGATTTTGAAAGGTAATTGTGACAATCTGAAAGCTGACTGTTCCAGCATAGATGTCATTCAAATGGTGCATAAAGGTAAAAAGTTAACTGCTGAAGTACAGACTGGGTCAAAATCCTGGAGGGCCCTTTCTAACAGCATTGTGTTGTAAGTAGAACCACATGGACTGCGGTGATTCAAGGAGGCAGCTCACTACCACCTTCAAGAGGGCAGCTAGATATAACATAAAAACCGAAAAAACTGCGGATGCTGTAAATCAGTTACAAAAACAAAATTGCTGGAAATCCTCAGCAGGTCTGGCAGCATCTATGAAGGAAAAAACAGAGTTAACGTTTCAAGTCCGGTGATCCTTCCTCAGAACTAGATATAGCAATGGGGATGAATGGGATCAAAGGTTATGGGGAGAAAGCTGGATTAGGCTATTGAGTTGGACAATCAGTCATGATCATGATGAATGGCTGAGCAGGCTGAAATGGCCTCCTCCTGCTCCTATCTTCTACGTTTCTATGTTTCTCAATGAAGGCGATATCCTCGAGGTTGTATCACTAAATTATTACTAATCCAGAAACTCAGCTAACGTTTTGGGGACTGGGTTTGAATTCCATCATGGCAGCCAGTGGAATTTGAACTCAATAAAAAAAAAATCAGGAATTAAGAATCTACTAATAAAATCTTTGTTGAGTGTCGGAAAAAACCCATCTGGCTCAAGCAAGGAAATATACCATCCTCATCTGGTAGAACTACATGTGACTTCAGAGCCACAGCAATGTAGTTGACTCTCATCTGCCCTCTGAAATGGCCTAGCAAGCTGCTCAATCGTATCAATCTCTATGAAGTCTCGACAAAGAAACGAAACCAGACGGACCGCCTGGCATCGACCCAGGTGCCGAAAAAGTCAATCATAGAAACAGCCCTGTCGATCCTGCCAAGTCCTCCTTACTAACATTTGGGAGATGAATCACAGACTAGTCAAGAAACAGCCTGCCATAATTATACTCACTGAATCAAACCTTACAGACCATGTCCCAGGTGCTACAATCACCATCTCGGGATATGTCCTGTCCCACCAGCAGGGCAGAACCAGCAGAGATGGTGGCACAGTGGTACACAGCCAAGAGGGAACTACCCTATGAGTTCTCACGGCTTCTGGTTAAACATGGACATGAACATGCTGGTTAGAAAGTACCATCCTTCCTCCGCTGATGAATCAGTACTCCTACATACTGAACAACACTTGAAGGAAGTACTGAGGCTGGCGAGGGCACAAAATGTATTCTGGATGGGGGATTTCAATGTCCTCCATAAGGAGTGGCTCGGCACTAGCACTACTGATCAAGTTGGTTGGGTCCTAAAGGACATAGTTGCTAGACTGGGTCTGCGGCAGATGGTAAGAGAATCAAAAAGAGGGAAACAATGTCCAAGTTTGGGCTGACAAGTGGCAAATAACATTCATGCCACATAAATGCCAGCCAATGACCATCTCCAATAAAAGACAATGTAACCACTGCCCCATGGCATCCAATGATGTTACCATCAGTGAATTCTCCTCTATCAACATCCTTGGGGTTATCATTGACCAGAAACTCAACTGGACTTGCCACATAAACACAGTGGCTACAAAGAGCAGGTCAGAGGCTAGGTATACTGCAGCGAATATCTCACCTCCTGACTCTCCAAAGCTTGTTCACTACCTGCAAAGCACGAGTCAAGAGTGTGACAGAATACTCCCCATTTGCCTGGATGAGTGCAGCTTCAATACTCACGAAACTTGACACCATTCAGGAGAAAGCAACACACTTGATTAGCACTACATCCACTCCCTCCACCGCTAACGCTCAGTAGCAGCAGTGTGTACAAGATGCACTGCAGAAATTCACCAAAGATCCTTAGACAGCACCTTCCAAACATGTGACCATTTCCATCTTGAAGGACACGGGCAGCAGATACATGGAAACATCACCACCTGCAAACCTGCTCCAAGGCACTCACCATCCTGACTTGGAAATATATCACCACTCTTTCACTGTAACTGGGGCAAAATCCTGGAATTTCCACCCTCATGGCATCTTACAGCAAGTAGATTGCAGCGGTTCAAGAAGGCAGCTCGCCACCATCTTCTCAAGGGTAAGTAGGAATGGGCAATAAACGCTAACCAGCCAGTGACACCCATGTCCCACGAATGAATTAAATCAGAGATCGGCAATGAATGCTCACCAGCCAGTGATGCCAACATCCCACGAGAGAATAAGAAAAAGTTTGGTTTCGATCATACCACAAACTTGCAAACTAAAGAACAAACCCTCAAAAGTTATAAACTCTTGATTTAATATTATACAGAAATAGCTTATACTCATTAGATGTGACAGTTCTACTTGCAAAGAAATGGACAACCATGTGCAACACAAGAGCTAAGGTGTGCTATAAACTGAAAACAAAACAATAGTGCAAACACAGTCTGAGACTGAGTAATAAAACAAATAGCAATAGAAACAATAATAGGGTAATTATATTAGGGAATCTCAACAACCCCATTACTAATTGGGATAATCATACTATAAAGGGTGGAGAAGGGGCAGATTTCTTGAAATGTATATAGGAGAGCTTTTTATACCAACATGTAGATGGTTCTACAAGGGACAGGTGTTTGAGGTAACAGTGAGGGAGTATTTTGGTGACAGCCTCCACGACACCTTTTAGTTTGTTGTGGAAAAGGGGAAAGATGGTCTGTTAAAAAAACAGAGGTTGGATTGGGGTAAGGCATATTTTATTAAAATAAGGCAAGATCTGGCTAAAATAAATTGGGAACAGCTGCTTGAGAGTTAATCTATAGAAGAACAGTGGAGGCGTTCAAAAAGGTACTGGCGAGAGTACAGGCCTCAACATGTTCCCTTTCAGGTGAAATGCAGCAGCAATAAGCCCAGAGAAACATAGATGGCTATAGGAATATTCAGGATAGGTTATAAAGGAGGCGAGAGATGTATAACAGGTAAAAAGGGAGTAAAACAATGGAGGACCTATAGGAGTACAGAGTGTAAAGATGGAAACTCAAGAAAGCAATTAGAAGAACAAAGAAGAGCCATAGGAGGCAAGATTAGGGAGAATCCCAAGATATTCTGCAAGTATATCAAGGGGATGAAAATAGTTAGCGAAAGAGCACTGCCCATTAGGGACCAAGGGGAAAATCTGTGCATAAAGGTTGAGTACGTTAGTACAGTATTCCAGGGTAACTTGGCAAAATTGGCCTAGTGGCAGGAGACTGAGGGTGGTTGTGGAAGACTGTTTGTGTGACTGGAGTCTGGTGTGTAGTCATACCAGTGCTGGATCCTTTATTGTTTGTGATATTCATAAATGATATAGATGAGAATGTGGAGGAATGATAAGTAAGTTTGCAGATGACACAAAGATTGGCTGGGTAGTTGACAATGAGGTGGAAGGTCTTAAGTTACAAGATGATATAAGCAGATTGATCAGATGGGTAGATCAGTGGCAGATGGAATTTAACCTTAGAAAATATGAGGTGATACAGTTTGGAAGAAGGAACAAGACAAATGAGTACTCAGTGATTGGCAGGACATTAAGAAATTCACAGGAATAGAGGGATCTTAGAGATCTGAAGGTGGAAAAACAAGTTAGGAGGATAGTTGAGAAGGCATAATTGACGGCTGCCTTTATCAGTCAAGGCACAGATTATAAGAGCAGGAAGGTTATGTTGGACCTATACAGAGCTTTGGTTAGGCCACAGCTGGAGTGTGTGTGCATTTCTGGTCATCAAACTATAGGAAGGATGTGACTGCACTGATGGAGTTGTAGAGGAAATTCATTAGGATGTTATCTGGGTGGAGCATTTCAGCTGTGAAGAGAGACTGGATAAGGGCATATTGTTTTCTTTGGAGCAGAGAGGGTTCAGGGGATACCTCATTGAGGTGAAAAGATTGAGTCATGGACAGGTGGATAGCAAGCAGCTTACCTTAACCTTAACCTTTAAATTGTACTTGGTGAATACTTGTGGTGTCATAACTTTCAAGGCTATGCGTCTTGTAAAGTGGAACTTGTGTAGGTAGTAGTGTATTTTTGGCAGTACAGACTTGATAGGTCAAAGAGCTTCTTTTGTATTCTGAGTATGATTCTAACAAAAAAACCAAAACCCAAAAGAAAGGGAGAACGAATTAACAGAAGCCAAATAATGAGAATGAAGAAATTAATGGCATTAAAAGTCCCTAGGGGAACAAAAGTGTTTCCATGCTAGCTTTTAAAAAAATGAGAACATTGCATTTATTATAAACGAACCGTTCTTTTAGATTTGAAAACTGTACATGTGACTTCATTATTTTAAAAAAAGTTCACAGAAAAGCCAATGCACAACAGA